ACCGGCTCCTTTAGCTTCATAGTATTGGTTTAATCTCGTTTGTGCATTTTGTCTGAAAGAGCATGTTCATATGGATATTATCCAACAGGCCATATCATCTTGGCCTTCATACCTTCGATTACTCAACAGAGTTTGGGGGAATATTAAAAAGTATCACCTCAACCGAAGGCACAAATTAGGCGATGTTTGGATGATGACTCATACTTACACTTTACGCTCTGGTCGCATGGAAAAATGGCCGATTTATCTATAGTCTTAAATATATTGATGAAAATGTCAAGTTTACCACGAAGGTGGAAGCGGGATAATTATCATTATTGAATTTAGAGGTAATTAATTCCCAGGATATAGTTAAGAACAAATTGTTTAAAAATAAATTCCATGCAGAAATAATCCCAAATTTCAAGTGTCAGCAGATTAAAGATTGGAATACTCCGAAATATTATCATTAGAAACATTAGTATAAAGATGAACTTAACAAACTAATTAAGATATCTCTTGGAAATAGATGCCCAAGTGAATAATATAATGAAACATAGGCGTCTTGATGAGATGGCAAGAGGGGAATTACGAAAGTTAAGGATTGATATTTCTAGCTTCCCACCAACCAGCTCGGAACCTGCAGAATCAGCAAACGGTAGATGAAACATATGGTAAGTTGATTAGGCCCCATTAAATCCGCAAATTTCATTATAAGCCAAAATTGAAACAATCGAATACAGGATGTAGATAGGTAATGGACCATACGAAGGGAGTTTGATGGATGGGGTTATGGTACTATAAGCTAAGCTAGGTTAGGAGTGGAAATCCTAAGAGAGGTGAAAAAAAATTAGTCAATGGGATAATGCCATAACTTGCGACTCTGTGTCAAGGATGACACCTCTCACTAATGATACCGAAACTGGTGCAGGCGGAACGTCTGGGAATTTACCAAAGGCCCGATGCTAGCAATTATCATGAACACCATAGTTGGGAACAGAGAGTATTATAAAATGTCCCACAATGAAATGAGTAGGCTTTAGGATACAATTCTGCCAGTTCGCCTCCAAGAAGGTATTCTCATCCATTTAGCCGAATGGAATTTACAAGCACATTAGGATTCTTTAATATCACATGTATAACGGGAATCTCAAGTAGGCAAACTTATTTTATGAAAATAAGATCAGAAATCGGGCGGATGACCAAAAGTGAATATGCCTGTCCTCCTATGAACTGAGCCAAAAATTGTGACCGACCAAACCATGATGCAGACACAAAACAAGGCGATGAGAAGCGGAGGACCTAGAGATAGCAAAACAATAGATGAGTTCATCTCATGAAAGATGGCAGTTGCTCGCCATCCTCTCATTCGTACACCATTTTATTAATCCAAACATAACTATGAACATCTTTTTAAACCTCTATAGCTTTATCATTAAATATTATCATCTGAATATCCTAGCAATCGGATTGAGTCAAAACTAAACAAAACTTTAGATGAGAACGAACCTTTCAATATGCTACAGAGTGGAATCCAACTGTATAAGAGCCCTTATTTCTTATTAGACGTAAGCATGATTTAGCTGACTAGTTATTAGCAACGGCAAAGCTAGATATGACTTATGATATATGAAGTCAGGGTTGAAAAAATGTATTTAAAGATTAAATAAAAAAAAAGCCAAATCCAAACAGATAATTATAAAATGGGTAAAAATGAATATTTTGGTTTCATCTGACCTTCCAGTCGCCGCTTAGGCTTCTGCAACGGAGTGACGGTAGGATTGGACACCTCTTTTTCACAAATAGATTCATCTTTGTCCGCCACAGGTGAAAGTTTACTTGTGCTGATAAAATCATTAGGATCCGCCTCACTAATGTGGTCCCAATCACTGTCGTCACTAGACAAGTGATCATCACCGAGGTTTAACCTGGAGAAGAAAACATGTGTAATATAAGACCAAAACTCAGATTAGTTGACAGCTTTGAGTTTATAATTTTGGAAATCGATGCCAAAAGGCACTAAGGAGGGGCAACCTAGCGACTGTAGCAAGCTGATATCCATTATAAAAATGAAGGCCTCTCAAAATGTGCATTATACATGATGGTTTTTTAAGCGAAAAACCCTAATTAATAAGATAAAAACGGCTTAACATAAATCAAGTATGTATATGATTACTTTTTCGACTTATTGTCCTCTTCATCATCGCTGCTTTGGGTGGAAAAAGGATTCATTTATTCTTCTTGGAGGTTGGTTCATACAGGACAGGGTACAGCACAAATGAAGGCTGATATAAAACAGAAAGAAAACCATATAGTAAAAATGGATTTTTAAAATGTGTTTCTCAGAATCTCATGTTAATAAAATATATGAATTTACGAGGCCATGCAAAGTTGTCAGAGCCTCGATCAGATCATATAACTAGTGAGATATACAGGATATCGTCTTGGAGCATGAAATATAAAATAATGTTACTTTGGGATACTTTAAATGGTATTCTGAAGTAACCTCATGTAAAATTCACAAAATGCCAGAGGGCGATCGGTGGATTCGGGGATCCAGGGAAATATATGAACACAATAACAATGGACAAAATATAAAGTGTATTTGCTGAAGTCTCTCAGAAAATATGGCGAAGTCAAGCCAAGTCCAAGAGTTTCAACGCCAATAAGAGTACACAATTTTTAATTATCAATAAGATTCTTACAC